CTCTCTCTCTCTGTCCCTCTCTGTTTAAATTGAAAAATAAGGCAATTCTTTTTAAAAAAGGAATTAATTTTATTATTTATTTATTATTTTTAATTTACTAAAGGGCACATGCGCTCACCAGAGAGAGAGGGAAAGTAAGAAAGCAAACCACCAGGTCCAGGACGCAAACCATGGCCAGCCATGTGGGAGCTCAGTGCCTTAATCACCAAGCCATCTGCGATCCCCTTCCCCAGGCATAATTTTCTTTCTTTTTTTAAAAAAAATTATTTTATTTAACTTTATTTTTTCATTCATTTATTTATTTCAGTTTGACCAGAGAGGTATAGCGTGAGAGAGAGAGAAAGAGAGACAAGCAAGCTGCCAGGCCCGGGACTCGAACCGCTGTCAGCCATGTGGAAGTCTAGCTCCAGGGCCCTTAACCACCAAGTCACGTGCCAGACCCCACCCAGTGTAATTTTCAATCCTCAGGATCCAGGACTTAAACCACAGTCCATTACGTGGGAATCCAGCACCTTAACCACCATGCCACCTGCTGGCTAGACTCTGGCTCTGACAAATCCATGCCACTCTCTAGGGAATGTTCAAAATAAATCAATAAAATGAAGATTTCATACACCGAAGTGGATTTCCAGCGTCTCCCTCCCCACTGGGGCCTCTGGTCCCCTGGACCCTGCACCCTGTCCCTCCTTCCTTGGGAGCGGGCCCCACCCCGCTCACCTTGGCCAGGTCTGCAAGCGTGTTGGTCTGATCGCTCAGCTTCCCTTGTTCGATCTTCACACTGCGGAGCCTGGGAAGACACCGGGGGTGGACAGCGTCAAGTGGGGGGCCACAGCGGGCCGAGGGGCCTTCATGCACCCCACCTCCTTCACCATGTGAGCCCAGAGGGGATCAGGGACCCTGCAGGCCTGCAGCGAAGGCTGCAGGACAGGGTGGGAGGCTTGGCCACGCCCTCCAGCCCCTATTGGCTAGCCCTAACTACAGGCCCCGCCCACACCAGTGACGCCCCATGCACTTGATCCCACACCCCCTAGTCCCTATTGGCTGGCCATAACCACAGGCTCCGCCCACACCAATGACGCCCCAAGCACTTGATCCCACGCCCCTTAGCCCTTATTGGCTATCCATAACCACAGGCCCCGCCCACACCAGTGACGCCACATGCACTTGATTCCAGAGCAAACAGAAGCCTGAAGCCTGCAAGGACCCACCAGGCCCTGGCAGACAGGAACTCTCCCACCCAGCCCACGGGAGGAGACTTACTTTTGAGCCCTGGGATGACCGGGCAGAGCAGAAAGAAATCACAAGGCATTTTAATCTCAGTGCAAGAGTGTCCGACCTGCACAAGCCTGCCCACCACCCAGGTGTACCGCCACAGGACCGAGCGGGAGTCCTGCATGACCGAGGGTTGGACCCAACTTCAAAGAGTCTGGTGCCAGCCCCTAGGACGCATGTGTCCTCTGGCCCCTCCTCCCCATCAAACACAACTGCATGCCCCAGAGCTGGCGTTTTGTCCAGAAAACTATGCCCACGATGTCTGCTGTGGGGGAAACGCAGGCTCAGAGAAGCAATGTCACCCACCCAACCCCCAGCAGGATCCGAACGCACACCGGCCACGTGGCCTCATGCCCGTGTTCCCTGGACACCTGCCCACAGAGAACAGAGCTATAGTGCTATGATGTGTGTGTTCCACCCAAACTCACTTATGTTTCCCCCCAGATTCACACAAGGAGCCATGGTGATAGGATTAAGAATGTGAAAACTTAATCCAGGGGCTGGCAGGAGGCGAGGTGGTTAAGGCGCTGGACTCCCACATGGCCGACCACAGTCGGAGTTCTGGACCTGGCAGCTTGCTTTCTCACTCTCCCTTTCTGTCTGTCTCTCTCTGGTCAAAATTGAAGAATAATGATAATAAGGGACCAGCAGGTGGCGTGGTGGTTAAGGCGCTGGACACTCCCACATGGCCAACCACGGTTCGAGTCCCAGACCTGGTGGCTTGCTTTCTCACTTTCTCTCTTTCTCTGGGTCTCACTCTGGTCAAATTAAAATAAAGATGAATGAATGAATTAATTCTTTTTTAAAAAAAGAATAATGATAATAAATATAATTTATAATAGAGACCACCATTTGGCAGCAGATGGTGGAGCAGTTACGTGGCTGGTCTCCCACATGGCTGATTGTGGTTTGAGTTCTAAGCCTGGTGGCTTAAAACCCACGCCAGGCACATGTGTGTGCATGCCCAAGATCCCAAGAGGACAGTGGTAAAGGGATTGTGGCATGGCCATCCCTCCTGGGGGTTGATTTCTCTCTTTGTCTCTCACTGTCTCTGTCTCTCTCTCTCCAGCGTGCGCATGTATCCTAAGGCAAAAAGCTCTAAAAAATAGAGAGGGACTAGGGACCAGCAGGTGACATGGTCGGTTAAGGTGCTGGACACTCCCACATGGCCGACTGCAGTTCGAGTCCCGGACCTGGTGGCTTCCTTTCTCACTTTCTCTCTCTCTCTTCCTAATTTTCTCTGTGTCTTTCTCTAGTCAAATAATAATAAATGAATGAATAAACAAAATTAAAATGCCTGGCCATACCCACAGGCCCCGCCCACACCAATGACGCCCCAAGCACTTGATCCCACGCCCCTTAGCCCTTATTGGCTATCCATAACCACAGGCCCCGCCCACACCAGTGACGCCACATGCACTTGATTCCAGAGCAAACAGAAGCCTGAAGCCTGCAAGGACCCACCAGGCCCTGGCAGACAGGAACTCTCCCACCCAGCCCACGGGAGGAGACTTACTTTTGAGCCCTGGGATGACCGGGCAGAGCAGAAAGAAATCACAAGGCATTTTAATCTCAGTGCAAGAGTGTCCGACCTGCACAAGCCTGCCCACCACCCAGGTGTACCGCCACAGGACCGAGCGGGAGTCCTGCATGACCGAGGGTTGGACCCAACTTCAAAGAGTCTGGTGCCAGCCCCTAGGACGCATGTGTCCTCTGGCCCCTCCTCCCCATCAAACACAACTGCATGCCCCAGAGCTGGCGTTTTGTCCAGAAAACTATGCCCGCGATGTCTGCTGTGGGGGAAACGCAGGCTCAGAGGAGCAATGTCACCCACCCAACCCCCAGCAGGATCCGAACGCACACCGGCCACGTGGCCTCATGCCCGTGTTCCCTGGACACCTGCCCACAGAGAACAGAGCTATAGTGCTATGATGTGTGTGTTCCACCCAAACTCACTTATGTTTCCCCCCAGATTCACACAAGGAGTCATGGTGATAGGATTAAGAAGGAGAAAACTTAATCCAGGGGCTGGCAGGAGGCGAGGTGGTTAAGGCGCTGGACTCCCACATGGCCGACCACAGTCGGAGTTCTGGACCTGGCAGCTTGCTTTCTCACTCTCCCTTTCTGTCTGTCTCTCTCTGGTCAAAATTGAAGAATAATGATAATAAGGGACCAGCAGGTGGCGTGGTGGTTAAGGCGCTGGACACTCCCACATGGCCAACCACGGTTCGAGTCCCAGACCTGGTGGCTTGCTTTCTCACTTTCTCTCTTTCTCTGGGTCTCACTCTGGTCAAATTAAAATAAAGATGAATGAATGAATTAATTCTTTTTTAAAAAAAGAATAATGATAATAAATATAATTTATAATAGAGACCACCATTTGGCAGCAGATGGTGGAGCAGTTACGTGGCTGGTCTCCCACATGGCTGATTGTGGTTTGAGTTCTAAGCCTGGTGGCTTAAAACCCACGCCAGGCACATGTGTGTGCATGCCCAAGATCCCAAGAGGACAGTGGTAAAGGGATTGTGGCATGGCCATCCCTCCTGGGGGTTGATTTCTCTCTTTGTCTCTCACTGTCTCTGTCTCTCTCTCTCCAGCGTGCGCATGTATCCTAAGGCAAAAAGCTCTAAAAAATAGAGAGGGACTAGGGACCAGCAGGTGACATGGTCGGTTAAGGTGCTGGACACTCCCACATGGCCGACTGCAGTTCGAGTCCCGGACCTGGTGGCTTCCTTTCTCACTTTCTCTCTCTCTCTTCCTAATTTTCTCTGTGTCTTTCTCTAGTCAAATAATAATAAATGAATGAATAAACAAAATTAAAATAAATCATTCTTGGGACCAGCAGTAGGTGTCATGGCTATGTCACTGGACTCCCATGTAGTCAACCGCAGTTCGAGTCCCGGACCCGGTGGCTTAAACTCACACCAGGTGGGTGAGCGTCCGTGCCCAAGATCCCGAGAGGAGAATGGAGGAGAAGGGATTGCGGCGTGGCCATCCCCCCTGGGGGGTGATGTCTCGCTTTCTGTCTCTCTGTCTCTCTCTGTCTTTTTAGCGAGCGCACGCGCCCTATGGCAAAAACCTCTCCAAAATAGATAAATAAATAATCTTTTTAAAAAAAGAGAGAGATGGGGGCCGGCAGGTGGCTTGGTGCATAAGGTCACTGAACTCCCACATGGCCGACTACGGTTCGAGTCTCGGACCTGGTGGCTTGCTCTCTCACTTTCCCTCCCGTGTCTTTCTGGGCAAATTTAAAAAAAAAATTAAAAAAAAAAAGAGAGAGAGAGAGAGAGACGAAAACCAGCGTCTTGGCTCTTGCTTGGGTGGTTCCCATGACTACAAAGAGTCTGTGGCAGCCTCCTCTCCCACCCCTGCCCAGAGATGCTGCACCCCCAACCATAGACCACCTCGTTGGGGGGCAGATGGGTGCCAGATAAGGTCACCCTGAGCTGCCTGCCCCAGACCTGGCCTGCTCCCAGGGGCCATGGCTGCCTCCGCGCCAGGCGGACACAGAAACAGGATCCGGAAAGGTGCTGGACTTACTGATGGATGGCTTGGAGGAACTTACGCTGGTGTTTCCGAACCCGGGCGTGGTCTGGCTTCTTCACCAGCCTGGTGTGTTTGTAGATGAGCCATGTCTCCCTGAGAACGTTAGCGGCGGCATTTTTCACCTGGGGCCAGAAAAAGAATGGTTCCTCAGGGAAGGTACAAAATGAAGGTTCTAGAAACTTCTAGAAACTTCCAGAAGCTCTCAGAAATAGCTCTCTGGGATGCTCGGACTATAAGACAGGGCTATCAGTGAACCTGCACAAGATAACCTTTCCCTGGGAACCAGCAGTTGGCGTAATGGCTATGTCACTGGACTCCCATGTAGTCGATCGCGGTTCGCGTCCCAGACCCAGTGGCTTAAAACTCACGCCGGGCACGTGTGCGTGCGTGCCCAAGATCCCGAGAGGAGAATAGAGGAGAAGGGATTGCAGCGTGGCCATCCCCCCTGGGGGGTGATTTCTCACTTTCTGTCTCTCTGTCTCTGTCTGTCTGGCGAGCGCACATGCCCTAGAGGGAAAATCTCTCCAAAAAAAAAAAAAAAAAGATAACCTTTCCCTAATTAAAAAATATATATACAGGGACCAGCAGTTGGCGTAATGGCTATGTTGCTGGACTCCCATGTAGTCAACCATGGTTTGAGTCCCGGACCTGGTGGCTTAAACTCACGCTGGGCACGTGTGCGTGTGTGCCCAAGATCCCAAGAGGGGAATGGGGGAGAAGGGATTGCGGCGTGGCCATCCCCCTTGGGGGGTGATTTCTTGCTTTCTGTCTTTCTGGCGAGCGCATAAACCCTATAGCAAAGAACCCTCCATAAAAAGGAAAGAAAAAAAATATATATATATACACACATATGTGTATATATGTGTGTGTGTGTGTATATAATATATTTTTTATTTTTGGAGAGATTTTTGCTATAGGGTGTAAAAGAGATATTTTTGCTATAGGGTGCATGCGCTTGCTGGAGAGACAGAGGTAGAAAGTGAGAAATCACCTTCCAGAATGATAGCCATGCCGCAAACCCTTCTCCATTCTCCCCTCAGGATGTTTGGGCACGCAAGCATATGCACCCAGTGTGAGTTTCAAGCCGCCGGGTCCAGGATTCAAACCACAATAGATCATGAGGGAGTCCAGTGATGTAACGATTACACCATCTGCTGGATCTTCTAGGTACATATTTTTAAAGAATTATTTCATTTTATTTATTATTATTCTCTAATTTGACCAGAGAAACAGAGAGAGAGAGAGAGAGAGAAAGCCACCAGGTCCAGGACTCGAACCACATTCAATCATATGGAAATCTAACACCTGAACCACCACACCACCTGATGGCCCTATCTAGATATTTGTCATTTGCTACAGGGCATGTACGCTCACTGGAGAGAAACAGAGACAAAGAGTGAGAGACAGAAAGCGAGAAATCACCCCCCAGGGGGGATGGCCACGCCGCAATCCCTTCTCCTCCATTCTCCTCTCGGGATCTTGGGCACGCACGCACACGCGCCCGGCGTGAGTTTAAGCTGCTGGGGCAGGCAGGACTCAACCACACAGTTGGCCATGTGGGATCCAGCCACCTTCACCAGATAACGGGCTGGGCAGAGGGAAGGTAGGGAGGGTCTTTGTGTGCTGATGGGGGAGAGGCGGCCTCAGAGCAGGCAGGGCCCTTACCCGCTTGGTGAGCTGAGTGTCCATCATGAAGTTGTGAACGTGCTTCTCGGCCTTGGTGAGCTCCAGCTTCCGGGCCACCACAGCCACCACGAGCGCCGTGCAGCCAGCTCCCTGCATGCGGGGAGGAGGCAGGGGAGCATGTTAGCGCCCTGCCTCCAGGTTGCTCCCTCCTCCAGGAAGTCTGCCCTGATTTTTCCCTTGCCCTTACACTGCAAGCCCCGATTACCAAACCCATTTGCTTCTTACCTATCTGGGAAGCAGGTCCCACAGACAAGCTCATCCCATCCCCACAACTCCAGGACAGAGGACTGACTCTTCATTGAATTATGCATTTTAAAAATAATTATTATTGTTAGTATTATATTTTGTAATAATTCTTTTATTTAACTTTATTTCTTATTTATTTTCATTTGACCAGAGAGGAACAGAATGAGAGAAAAAGTGTAAAAGCAAGCCACCAGGTCCGGGACTAGAACCATGGTTGGACATGTGAGAGTCCAGCCCTCTTAACCACCACACCACCTACTGACCCCTTATTATATATTTTGTTCTTCGACTTATTTATTTATTCATCTTTATTTTTATTTGACCAGAGAGGGACAGAGTGAGAGAGAGGGAAAGTGAGAAAGCAAGCCACCAGGTTCGAGACTCGAACCGCCATCGGCCATGTGGGAGTACAGAGTTCTTAACCACCTCGCCATCTGCTGCCCCCCCCAATTATATATATATTTTTTTCTTTTTTGGAGAGGTTTTTGCTATAGGGAGCATGTGCTCACCAGAAAGACAGAGACAGAAAGCGAGAAATCACCCCCCGGGGGGGATGGCCACGCCGCAATCCCTTCTCCTCCATTCTCCTCTCGGGATCTTGGGCACGCACGCACACGCGCCCAGCGTGAGTTTAAGCCACCGGGTCCGGGACTCGAACCGCAGCCGACTACATGGGAGTCCAGCGACATAGCATTACACCAACTGCTGGTCCCAATAATTATATTTTTAATGCTTTCCTCTTTCTTTCTTTCTTTCATTCTTTCTTTCTTTCTTCCTTCCTTCCTTCCTTCCTTCCTTCCTTTCTTTTTTTCTTTCTTTCTCTTTTTTTTTCCTTTTTCCTTCCTTTTTGCCATAGGGCAGGCACCACCATGCCCAAATGCTCTCTCTCTCTTTTTTCAGAGAGGGTTTTTTTATACAGGGCACATGCGCTTGCCAGAGATACAGAGAGACCGAAAGCGAAAAACCACCTCCTTGGGGAGAATCCCAAGCCACAGTTCCTTCTCTGCTCTCCTCTCGGGATCTTGGGCATGCAAGCACACACACCCCCAGCATGAGTTTTAAGATGCTGGGTCTAGGATTCGAACTGTAGTCAACCTCGTGGGAGTTCAGCAACATAACCATTACACTAACTGCTGATCCCCGGAATTGTTTATTTAACTGAATCGAATTTTATTTTCAAACTTTCTTTTAAGAATTATTTTAGGGGACCAGAAGGTGGTGTGGTTAAAGGCGCTGGACACTCCCACACGGCCAACTATGGTTTGAGTCCTGGACCTGGGTGGTTTGCTTTCTCACTTTCCTTCTCTCTCTCTCTCTGTCTGTGTGTAACTCTCTAGTCAAATTAAAGTAAATGAATGAATAAATAAATAAATATTTTGTATAAATAATAATAACAAATGGATAATATTAAGAAGAAATCTTTAAAAAAAAAAAAAAAAAAAAAGATTTATTGGGACCAGCAGTTAGCGTAATGGCTGTGTCGCTCAACTCCCATTTAGCCACCCGCGGTTCAAGTCCCAGACTCGGTGACTTAAACTCATGTCGGGCACATGTGTGCATGTGCCCAAGATCCCGAGAGGAGAATGGAGGAGAAGGGATTGCGGCGTGGCCATCCCCCCTGGGGGGTGATTTCTCAACTTTCTGTCTCTCTGTCGTGTCCTCTGACAATTTTTGAAAACCATTTTTTTATGTATATATGCATCTATTTATTTGTCATTTTTTTAAAAAAGAATTATGTTATTTGTTAGTTTAAAAAATGTGTCTGAAAAGATACAGTTAGAGACAGAAAGGGAAAATGAGAGAGCAAGTCGCTAGATCCGGGACTCGAACTGCGGTCAGCCATGAGACACGAGAGCGAAGGAACAAGGTAGAGACCGGGTGGGCTGACGCACTGAGGAATGAGAATGTGCCTGAGCTCGCGGGCGCAGCCGGGTGCACTCCCCTTCAGCGGGTGTATGCAAAGGGTTGGTCGGGCAGGAAGCTGGCGAGGCCTCCCTCGGGCTGTGCGCCCGGGGCTTCCCAGGGCTGTGTGCACGGGCTGCCCGGGGATGGTGCACTGGGCTTCCCCAGGTTGTATGTACGGAACCTCCCTGGGGCTGTGCACATGGGTACTTCCCGCGGCTGTGCGCATGGTGTACACGGGGCCTCCCTGGACAGTGTGCATGGGGCTTCCTAGGGCTGTGCGCATGGGACCTCCCTAGGGCTGTGCACTTGGTATACACAGGGACCTCCCGAGACCCCGAGACAGTGCACACGGGGCTTCCCAGCTATATGCCTGGTGCACACAGGCCTCCTGGGGCTGTGTACACGAGGTCTCGTAGGGCTGTGCGCATGGGGCCTCCCTAGGGTTGTGCACATGGGTACTCCCCCCGGCTGTGTGCATGAAGTATACGGGGCCTCCCCGAACAGTGTATACGGGGCTTCCCGGGGCTGTGTGCACGGGGACTCCCCAGGGGTGTGTGCCTGGTGCATACAGGGTCTCCTGGGGCTGTGTGCACGGGGCCTCCCGGAGTTGCGTGCACGGGGCCTCCCGGGGTTTCGTGCACGGGGCCTCCCAGGGCAGTGTGCACGGGGCCTCCCGGGGCAGTGTGCACGGGGCCTCCCAGGGTTGCGTGCACGGGGCTTCCCGGGGTTGCATGCTCGGGGCCTCCTGGGGCGGTGAGGACGGGCCCTGGCCCTTACCATGATGCCGGTGAGCAGGCACACGCCCTTCCCGCAGTAGGTGTGCGGCACCATGTCCCCGTAGCCGATGGAGAGGAACGTGATGGAGATCAACCACATGGCTCCCAGGAAGTTGCTGGTCACTTCCTGCTTATCATGGTACCTGGGGGGGCAGGAGGGGTGGTGGGGAGGACTCAGTCTACACTGGTCCCTCTGGCTTCACCATACCCGGTGGGGCTGACCAGGAACTGAGCCTTGAGACCCAACCGGGGGTGGGTGGGTGGGTTTAAAGCGACAAGGTGCCCCTGGGGGGGGTACGAGGTTACCACCCGGACCCTTCCTGCGTCCCTCCCAACCGGGACGCCTCCCCTCCCCAGCCCTGGTGACAGGCCAGAGAGGGGCCCGGGTGAAGGCATATGCACGCGTGTCCACGCCTGTCTATCACGCACCCCTCCCCCCTTGCAAAGACAGACAGACAGACAGATGGGGACACGAGTGGTTCCGAGCACTAGAAGCGGCAGGGAGTGGAGGTGGGGGGATTGAGGTCAGATAGCAGGAAGAATTTCCCCAGCCAGTCCAAGGAGGGAGGACGAGTTGGGGAGGAAGTAGGTTCTGGGGGGTTCAGGGATGGAGGGGGCGGCTCGTTTCGCTCTGGGGCTGTATTTCCATACCCCAGGGGACAGGCCTCAAGGCCTAGGGAAGGACCTGAGTTTGTCCCAGCCACAGCTGGGCTGGGGAACCTGGCCTCAAGAATACAGCCAACTCAGGTGCGGAGAGGCCAGTTCTCTGGGTCTGGAGGTGGCTCAGAAATCCCCTCCAGCCCCTACTCTGAAACCCTCTTGGCATTTTCTTTTTTGTGTGTTTGGGGGGTAGTTTTTACTATAGGGCACGTGTGCTTGCCAAACAGACAGAGAGACAAAGCGAGAAGTCATCCCCCAGGGGGGATGGCCACACCACAATCCCTTCTCCATTCTCCTCTCGGGATCTTGGGCGCGCACGCACACGCGCCCGGTGTGAGTTTAAACCACCGGGTCCGGGACTCAAACCGCGGTCGACTACATGGGAGTCCAACGACATAGCCATGACGCCATGTGCTGGCATTATTTTGATGTCTGGGTCCATTTGGCCTCACTGGAGGGGGTCAGGGAGCCCGTTCTAACCCAGTCGCAGGTCTGTGAACCCCAGGTCAGCTCCTGGACCACCCTTGGGAGGTTACAGAGTCAGAGGTGGGTTCAAGAAGGTGGTCCCCGGGCTGGGACGAGTGGGGGCGTAGGGGGAGCTTCAGGGGACTGCGGTGCAGGGCAGAGCGGGTGACAGAGCCCCGAGGATAGGGCTGGAGAGCATTCCAGAGTGGGTTAAGAGACATGAGAAACCCCCTTCCCACAGACTGGCTTGTTGAGGTCCTCAGTCCCCCTAAAAAGTTGGACGCTATTTCAGGTTCCTCAAGTCTGGGATTTTAGATGAGACTAGAGGACACCCCCCCTTTTTATTTATTTTTTAATAGATTTTTTGCCATAGGGTACATGCACTTGTCTGAGAGAGACAGAGAGATCTCCCTCCAGGGGGGATAGCCACGGAGCAATCCCTTCTCCATCCTCCTCCTAGGATTTGGGGCCTTTGGACACTGTGCCAGGTGTAGTTTTCAGGTTGCTGGGTTCAGGACTCAAACCCACAGACTGGGCCAGATGGGATTCAGCACTTCAACCGCCATGCCACCTGCTGGCGAAGGAGCCCGTCCTGGGCCCCAGTCACCCCAGCGCCTTATGGGAAAATCCCACGCCCACTCCCCGAGGCCCCGCCCCCAGGAGGCGGGATTGACAGGAAGCCCGAGGGCCTCGAACCCAGAGCTATGGAGTAAGAGGAATCACCCCAGCGCAGGGGTGGGAGGCATGCGGGACGCAGGGGGGTGTGGGGCGGAGCGAGGCAGGCGAGGGGGCTTCAAGCGTTGTCGCCGGGCTCAGAATTTAGGATTGGCTGCCCGCCGGCCCTGCCCCGGGTCCCCACCCCACCTGCAGTGTCCAGCCTGGAAGTCCCTCAGAGTCTCAATTTCCTCATCTGTGACTCGGGTCCACAGCCCACCTCCTCCCAGGGCTGATCAGAGCAAATTCCTTCTGGACATCCTGAAGGCTGGGCCAGTTTCCCATCACCCCAGCCTCGCTGAACTCCGGGAGAAAGAGGTCCCAGCTCGCCTCACCCCTGAGAGGGTCAGCTGCCATGGGGAACACCACCGGTAAGCCCCCGCTGTAAAAGCCAATGCCCTCCCTCCTCTGCCTTTCACAGACCAGGACCCCAGCGCTCAGAGAACATGCCAACCTCGCCGGCTCATCCTGGCCTCCCTGGTCCTGGCCTCCCAGCCTCCCTCCCTCCCTCTCGGCAGCTAATCTTAAATTCCTGGCGGGTGGGACAGAGGCAGTTCTGTGCACATAGCTGGCCAGCGGTAGGACTCACATGTCTTCCCTAGCGTCCGGCCGGGCGGGCAGATGGGAGAAGGAAAGTTGATTAATTAAACGTGGGGAGAGGGGGGACAGAGGACCAAGGGGAATGGGGTGGGGGGGTGTCCCTGTTCCTGCAGCCTCCACCACCAGATCAATGGTCAACCTCCTGCAGGGCGGAGGGGCCCAGAGAAGGCAGGACTGGGACCCCTGGGAAGTTAAAGGGAGTCAGAGCAGGGACATCCCTCCCTGGGTGTGTGTGGGGGGGACTGGGAATAATTTAAGACACAGATGGAATATCCCCCCGATAAAGGGATGAGGACCAGCAGGCATACCCCAGCCTGGGAGGAGAGAGGGTGTCAGTGGGGTTTCTTTCTTTCCTTTTTCTTTCTTTCTTTCTTCTTTTTTT